GCCCGCCCCCTCGAGGGAGCCCGCGAACACCCCGGACCGCCGGAAGTCCCCGCCGCGCCGTGCCAACGGGTCGGCGGCGATCCCACGAGACCCCCCAAGAGGGTCCCCCAAGTGCCCACGAGACCCCCGCCAGACGCCCGCAGACGGCCCAAATGTCATCCCCCAGAGGCTCTCGAAACGCAGACAAGGTTGATTCTCCGTTGGTTGTTATATGCTTTTGGGTTGCACGGATATTTGCTTTTCCAGGTGCCCGAGAACGCCCGAGGGGCACGGGAAACCGCTCCAAGACGACCCAGCAAATGTTTCTGACAGTCCAAGATGGCCCCAAGACGGCCCAAGAGGGTTCAGAAACTGCCCACAGAGGGCCCCATGGCGGGCCGAAACTGCCCCAAGGCAGCATGGTGGCCCGATGAACCCCCCAGAGGCCGCCAAAAGGCGCCAGAAACGTGTCCAGAGGCGCCCAAGGAGCCCCTGAAAAGCTTTCGCGAGATCCTTGAGAAACTCGCCTCGGAGAAGCCTCCGCAAACAAATCTGAGTAAGACGTCGAATGTTCGCGAGGCAATGAAGGCGAGAACGAGGAAGAGGAAAAAGAAGAAGAGGACACATGAGGGAAGGAGAAGGAAAACAACATCTTAACGGTGACGGCGAACACTGCAACCAACAGCAATCGTTGTTTTGGTTGATCTACCTCTCTCTCATTATGCCTGCATGTAAGACGTGAAGGACCAAGGCGCATGGCGCGAGGCGCCAATGCAGTCCTGTATGTGTCTGTAGATGATTATTGCTGTTCCTTTTGGGAGCGAAGACAGCAGGGAAGACAAGGAACAGCCTTGGACCAGGAAGCAAAAAACGCGGAAGGAGACGGCCCTTAAAACTGTTTTTTTGTTACAAAGAACCTGAGCGGAGTACGCTAAGTCACCGTCGCATTGTTTTAGTGTTCCAGCTTGTCAAAAGCCCAAAATGCAAAGCCCAAGGCGTCTTTAGAAGAACCAAGCCGTAAGGAGGCTCCACCGAAGGCCCCCTTGGCAGCGCCCGCATGCGTCTCCCGCCCATGTTGGCACACCCCTTACATGTTTCGTGGCCCTATACTGGAGCTCCACCGAAGGCCCCAGCGGCAGTGCCCACATGCGTCCCCCGCCCATGTTGGCACATCCCTCACACGCTTCGCGGCCCCATACGGAGCTCCACCGAAGACCTTAATGGCAGCTCGCATGGTACCGCCGCCCACGTTTCGGCACACCCCTCACACCTTCCGCGGCTCCACAGGGAGCTCCACCGAAGACCATATTCACAACCGTAGTGCTCACAACTGCATCTGATTGGGCCTTTCCCCAGGACAATTGTTGTTTGGTCCCGTTCCGAACTACGCGCTAGACAAATGCAAGACAGCTGCTTTTGAAAGTGGGGCCCTCGCCAAAATGGCAGGCCCACCTGTGCTGGTCTTTCAAAGGGGGGCGCTTCTTTCAGTGACAAGAAAGACCTGTGGGGGGGCATGGGGAGGGGACTTGGAACGGGAGGCTGTATTGCAGCATGGCTTACGCATCTATGGTTTACTTGGGCCATCTGAGCCTCTGAAAAAAAACAAACGCTTATGCCACATTCACCTGTCAATGCCCCTCACCCCATGACCAATGTTGGCGGTGGGTTGAACGAATTGCACTTCGACCGCAATCCCCCCCCGCGCGTGCAAACCTTGAACTCCTCTACCGCCCTCCTCTTCCTCCTCCCCTTCCCCGTCACCTCGGGGCCGTGCGCGAGCTTCGTGCGCAAGCTCTGGGTCTGCTTTGCCGCCTTCTCCAGCTGCTTATCCTTGCCCTGACCTCTCTGCCTGCCGGCCGACGGCTCGTCGTCGTCGTCGTCGTCGACCCCTCCCTCTTCCTCCTCCCTCCTCCTCCTCCTCCTCCTCCTCCTCCTCCTCCTCCTCCTCCTCGTCCTCCTCCTCCTGATGGGAGGCAGGAGTGGTAGAAGGAAAGGGGATGAGAAAGAGCGAACTCTGGTCTAGACTCCTAGAATGCTCGTTCGGACTTTCCTAGGTATAACCTGGTCGCTGTCATGACCTCTCGGGAACTTCTTCTTGAGAACTCTGGGACTATCTAGGACCTTCTGGGGCCCACTTCGGACCCTGCTGAAGGCCTTTTAGGAACATCTTAGCTCCCTCTGGGGCCCCTCTGAATCAGCAAAGGCCGTCTCGGACAAATATTAAATTGGAGGCGGTTCTGGGAAATTACGGGAGTTCTGGGTCTGTTCTGGGGTCGTACCCAGCAACTGCCAGAGCGAAAAGAAAGGCGGGTGGTGGCCGAAAACCACATTGACGAAATACTCAGCGCCGCTATTTTCTTTTTTCCACGTGTCAGCTATACAAGTCGTTTTAACGTGGGAGATTGCTGCACAGTCTCCTGCGAGCCCTACGTGGCTCAGAACAACGCGCCGTTGGTACGAGGGAGAAACAGAAGTTCTTAACTGGGGACGCCAGCTGTCCGCCCTTATCGGCCAGACACAG